TTAACACAAGTATCTGTACTTTTACTCAAGTACGGAAAGTGAGTACTTTTGCCATCTCTGGGTAGAGGGGTCTGAAAAGTCGCAAGTTAGGAACATTCTAAGGGCCCTTAAGTGAGGGGGGGGGCCCAAATAAAGAAGAAAAGATTTTTCCCGCTATGTTAAACTATAAAATCGGACATGAAATAAATAATTTTTATGTTTTCCCCCCTAATTTTTAAGCAGTAAACAGCGAAACAAAACCCCGGTCCTGCATCGCATCAGGTCTCCCTGTCTGTAAGGTTGCTCGTACCGGAGCTTAAGTGTAACATGCGCATCAATTTAGTTATAATAAATGAACCAAATCAATGCATCTTTATAGCAGTTTAAAAGCTTACATACATTTTTTTGGGGTGGGGTCCAGTATCAATGTTTACATGGCACCCCAAATTCCTGGCGCCGCCCCTGTTTCCATCCAATGCAGTGAATTAACCACAGGATGCAAAGCATAATGTTGATGCTTGGTGTAACAAACAGGGAGGAGAGGAAGAAGCAAGAGCCGACCATTGATCACTACCGGATCAAAGTTTGAATGAATATGTTGGAATCTAACAAGTTGTTCTTTATTCTATCAGCCAGTATTACGGCGTTACACACCATCTATTGCCATGCTATTGGACTTAGTCATCAAATACCAGAGATAATGGATCCTGGCTTATTTCAAAGAGTCACGTGACTTTATGATAAAGATGAAAAACCCTTTAAATGGAGGTTTCCATGTGATGCAAACAGAAACTAATCTGGAAATGAGGAACATCTCTAAGCAAACCACTGGACTTTGTTTCCAAGTTTGAAGACGTTTCCCTTCCCATCCAGGAAGATTTTTATATCAGAAACTCAAAACTATTTCTGACATTTTGAATTGAAAAAGTTTCCTGGATGGGAAGAGAAACGTCTTCAAACTTGGAAACAAAGTCCAGTGGTTTGTTTTTTATTTCCAACATCTCTAAGTTAGTACCCTGATATACCAGAAAGTTTTATTTTACAGATTACAGGAAACACTGAAAAAAACAACAACCTAGGATGATAAATAATCTTTTCTGAGGAGAAACCAGGAAGCAGAGGAACTGTGGTTCCTAGGGGCCAGAGGTTGGTTCAGTTCAGCATCAATAAGTCATTAGGATCATTGCTTATGGACTCGATATTAGTTCATTGACTGACAGAAAAAGCCAAAGCTTTATAAACAGCTTAATCTTTTTAAATGACGGTTTACTTTCATCTTTTAAATTGGAATAAACAGCAGCAGCTCTCACTATGCATAAAATCCAGCTTTACCTCTTTAACACATCATTCTTTTTTATCCAACTGCATTTATATAAGATTTCAGTCACAAATATGTGAATCTTTTATTTTGCGTCAGCGTCTCCTTTACACTTGTTGAATAGATAAATAAATGACCAAGAAAGAAAGGGTAAAAAATGTTGCATACCTATGAAAATGATCCAGAGCTGAGCACAAACGCACAGATGCCTGTCCCCATAATCCAGATCAGATATTAAAAGTCCCATATTCCAAGTAGTTCTATCATTGAGATCTCATCTCTTCCAAATCTAGAGTCAAATAAAAATAAAAAGGTTTTTCCTTTTTAAATTCCTGCTCCAAAGTGCGCGCTACTCCACATCCATGTGAAGCTGGAGATGATGCGGAATGAAGGGAAGGAAAAGCCTCCGCTCCTGTCGGCAGCTCCTGCTACTCTGAGCTGCTTCAACTCGCGCTCCTGTGACGCCTGGAAGCGAAGTGTGCGTTCAGGAGCGGCTCAGCCCCGCGCGGCGGATCCCACAGTGCGCGTGGCTCCGGGACAGAACCCTGATAGAGCCTCCTGCCGGTTGGTGGGCTGTGCGCGTCCTACAGACAAAGCCTGTGACGCTGGATGACCCACCCCCCCTTACATCCCCTCATCTCGCCACACCTAGTCTCCAGTCTATAATCACCGCTCCGGGTGATGGTCAGGACGCGCAGCCCTCTGTGGATTTAACTTCCACTGCACACTAGAAACACTCCTGCGCGATTTATCTTCCCCCTCTCTGCCTCTCTGGACGTGTTCAGGCAGAGCTGTGAGAGCCAGGCAGAGAATAAGAAGTGTGTGTGTGTGTGGGGGGGGGGAGTTTGCCTGAATGCCTTAAGGCAAAGAGAGAGAGAGAAAAGAAGTGGGGAAAACAGGGATTAGATAAAGGTTATTGATGAATTAGCTCAAATATGCTCCTCCTTCCTCACCCCCCCTCCAGGGTGCAACAGCCTCATGAGAATGAAGAGGTTACCAGCACAGGATGGGGAGGGGGAGGGGTACACACACACCACCATGCTGCCTGACTCACATGTGGCTGGAATTCCCTTCATAAAGGAGAGGAATCCATGGATCCCAGTGAGTGTGGGGGGTCTATAAACTGAATTGTAGCAACAGAAGGCGGTCACTTACAAACAAAGAAAAAGACCAGCTGGGGAGAGTCTCCTTGTTAACCCAAAGCTCTCCAAATCACAGGAATGTCTGCTCTTGTTTCGGTGGAGGGAGGAACCCACGAAACCTCCCACTCCAGAAGAAAACCCAGCCCAGCGGTGCTCTGGAGTCCGTCCTCTAGAGCTCCCACCGATGCTGAATATTTTACAAGCCACAAAACATCCTAACAAAACTCAGAGACTACTCCACTAATCCAAGCCTGAGGAAAAGATCAAATATGTACCTCACGTATCAGGATACACACAGTGTCTGCCTGCCAACTCCAATAATCAAAGTAGGGTATTTTTACCTCCCCGCTGCTAAAAGTCTACATAATATCACTGCAAAGTTTCAACGGCAATATCTCACCGTCTTGGAGTAGCTGTAGCCTTCAGCTCCGACTAAAACCGAGTCCCAGGGTAACCTGCCTCTTTAGCTAAATAGCAAGTGCCCTTGAGCAAGGCACTTCAGTGAGAGAATTCTTAAGTGCGGGAAAAGCACCTGCGGCAGGCCAGACAGCCCCAAACAAATTGGCTTTCAGCGAAGGATTGTTTTAGTCAGAAAGACAGCCTATACTATTTAACTGCTTGATTTCTTCCCATCATTTTATTGAAAACCAGGGTGAAGGGGAACGTTTTCTTCCTAGCAACCGCATCACACTGCTTTTTTGACATAGAACTGAGAGTTTAGGTTTTTTTATTGCTTAGCACTTGGGTGTGAATTTATCCATTGTCTCTCAGGTTATTGCCTGAACCACATTAGTTGAAAAAGGTCATTTTAGTCCCACAGTTTCTTAAACTAAACATAATGCTCTCATGTAAGGAAAACCTTTCCATGAGTACGGTAAAGGAGATTAGGACAAAATGCAGTTATTTCGGGTAATTAATGCAGACACAGCTCTGGCTTTGGCTAGATAAGTACCCAACAGCTCCTAAGACTTTCCCCTGCATATAACTCCCAGAGCAATCCGTACAAAATTCCTTAAGGGACATGCTGGAGAAGATTCTCAGTCA